ACACTTCCAAAGGTAGATTGCAAGATTGGAGAAATTCGGAAGCCAGAGCGCCTACGGAACAGTCGAAAGGAACAAGGACATAATTCCGGAAGAAAGAAATTTCTTAGGGATGTTCTAATGATCCAGCAAATTTTCCTGATATTAATAAAATATCCCTGAAGACCCCGCAATGCCCCTTAAGTTTTCGGAACATTCCTGAAATGCACTTAAGAATATTCCATAATTCCACGGAATTCCTTAAAAGTTCTTGTAATTTTCTTGAAGTTAATGGGGCTGTTTTAGAGTTCACTGATCATCCTCCAAGTACTCGGAACTTCCCTGATTATAATGAGGCTACCTTTATTTCTATAATCATCTTTGAAGGTATCTGGACTTTCTTGAAGATTACGAAATTTCTTAAGTGCTCTCACAATTTCCTTGAATTTATTGTATCATTAGCATTAGAGATCTCTGATCTTCCCAATTTTTAAAATTTTAATTCTTGGCACTGCCATTACAAAGCACGGAATTTCCCATAAAATTTTCTCACAATGTTCTAATGTTCATGTAACTTTCCTTACGTTTCCTAAATTTATGGAACATTCCCTGAGTTTCTCGGAAATCCTTTAAAATATCAGCATTTCCTTGAAATTAATTGATCTGTCCTGATGTTTACGGAGCTTGCCTCAATTCTCTGAAACAAATGAAACTTTCCTGAAAACCATCAAATTTCCATGAAGTTCTTTGAACTTGTGATGTTTCCAACATATTTTTGATGTTTTCGTAAATTCACTGGAGTTTGCTGGACTTTCCTCAAAATTTTCGGGTTTGGAATTTGAACAGAATTTAATGAAACTATTTTTAATTTATCAGAACTTACTCAAAATTCTGGACTTTTCTGAAGTTTCAGAACTTCTTAAAAGTTCCTCCAGCTATGAATCCGCAGAAACATCCGTGAAGTTCAGGGGAAGTTGAAAAAAAAACTGGTGGGAGAACCATTCGAGCGATGGCTGAAGAAGCTTCCAAGGGAAGTTGAAATAAGTTTTCGGAAAGAATCGAAAAATAAGTTACGATGTAAGGTGGTAGAAACTTCCAGGCGAAAGTTGGAAGAAAATTCAGGAAGTAAAAAATGAACAAAAACTTTAGGAAGTTAAATAATGTTTAAAAAGTATTTCGCGATTCTCTAAGAATAACCGTAAAGAGCCATCGACAGTTTCTCGATTCATGGGTAGCCAAAAGCGGTGGAGAAATGGAAACATCAGTCAAAAGAGTATCAAGCATATGACATTTTCAAAATGATTTTTTTTTAAAGAATTTTGGGGGCTCAAAAATTTGAGTTATTCAAAAAGATAACTCAAGTCTCTCACAGTAATTTTCTCCGAAATTCGAGCGCGATCATTTAAAAAAATCGGTATAAATCGGTATACAATTTCAAAAATCGGTATTCTGAGGAATCTTATCTGTATATCGATATCTAGTTCGGAAATCGGTATAAATACCGATAAATCGGTATATCTGGCAACGCTGCATGGGATATTGACATTTTGATTGGCACACTTTGGCATATCCTGGCATAGCGTTTGGCACAGCTAAATAATTTGGAACAGATGTAGGTGTGCAGAGTTGAGTACCCCTTGACGGAAACCTGAACGTAATTGTTTTGTGATATCAGGAGCTCGGTGGCCTAGTGGTGACAGATTCTACTTACTGAGCAGAAGACCGTGGGTTCAAACCCCCGCTTCTTCGTGCTATTGAATCGTGATGACATTAATTCAGCATATCGTTTATAAGGAATCCTGCTGCAATCCCAATCCTTTTATCCACCATCCCAGTGATTTCTCGTGGAAGTGCAGAGATGTTCTCGGCTTTCATTAAAACGAGTATAACGTCAACATATTCTTACCCATTCCTTTCTTGACCAGCATTCGGACGTGGCCGGCGTTGGTATTGCCATTTGTTAGATTACCAGTTTTTACACATTGAGGGTGATTCCTGATCCTCAAGCAACGCCTACTGGTTCTCTGTGTAATTACAGCTGATCTGGCAATAACGGAGTTGCATCCTCGGGTGGTCAATCATGCTCATGCTCATGCAAATTTATCTGAAATTCATATGGTCGGTATCTACTGTGATATTGCATAAATATAAACCAACCATCGTAGCCTTTCCTTGTTTTTCGATTTTTTTTATTTTCTTTTTTTCCATGATACATTTGCACATTTTAACAAAATTATTCCATTTCACAAAATACACAGCTCCGAAGATTGACACTGTTTACTGATTGCTATTGACGTGACAAATCGAACGATTGCAATCTCATTTTACCTTCCTATTTACACCAGCTTGTCGACGGAATTTGCTTGTGTTTCTTCCTGCCTGTGAATCTTCACGGGGGAGAAATAATTTTCGCTAAAACACGATCACCGGTACCGGCGCTCCGGTAGAGATGGCTGCTGCTGCGATATTGGGGCACAGGCACCGATTCCCGCAACTGTATCAACATTTTTAGCTTTTATAGTTTCCGTAAAAAATAATTCTGTTGTTATTTACTCCTATCGCTGCTATCTTCCTTCTTCTTTTTCTTCTTCTGTTCGCAGTTTTAGTTTGTGGTGAAACAGAATTTTGCTTTAGTTTTCTTGTAAAAAAGAAAACGGTGTTATAATCTCAATATATTTCTTGAATTCAGTTTTTCATTGAGGGTTGAATGAAAAAAGATCATTTTGTTTAAAAGGCGATGCCCGGGGAATCGGACGACCCCCGTTTCGGGCATCTGACAACCGTGTCAACACTACGTTCTCTACACGTGCCGGTAGAGAAATAGGTGACCACTACTAGGTGGAGAATTTCAAAAGGAAAATCTATCAAAAGCTCTGGCGCTTAGGCTGTGCGGCATTTGGTGAATTTTCACTTAAATTTGACACTTCGAACATAAATTACGATGTTCGAAAATTGATCGATTGTTGATCGACCGATTTTCGAGAAGGTGTTTGCCACAATGGATTTATTGGATGCTGCACGCTGACGTCACGAATGAACGCGATGAACCCGAATTCATCAGTTTGACATCCAGTGGTGGTTTGTTTACTTTTGCTTGTTAGTCAATTCAAGTGGATTTGAGGTTTTAAATAAAAAGAATTAAAATATATGATATCCGACTATGTTCATTTGAAAAATATTCCTCTCCAATAAATCTAAAAAAAAATTAATAAATTTTTTAAACTTTTTTTTTCTAAGTCCATGTAAACAAACCACTGCCAGATGTCAAAAAAGTGAGGTTACCTCGACGGTGCAACTCCCTATTGGTTTTATTTGAAAATTTTCCATCTGTCAAAATTTAAGTGAAAATTCACCAAATGAAACACAGCCTTAGTTTTGTTTTGCGGCAAGGAACGAAATTAACTGACATTTCGCTCCTGGCCGCCTCCCTAATGCACATCAACGCTGATCATATTTTCTGAAAAATATTGCTTGATGATGATATACGTCTCCCGGATGGTTCTCCGACTTGTTGCTTTGTTTTATTGTCATTTGATAGTTAAACCTAACAACTCTTATCACGATTTTAGCTCAATTTAAATAGTTTCACTTTCGCGCTAAACGAGAGAATGATAATTGCTTAGATTTCGCGTGGTTTCATGCTTCTTCTTCTTATTTTTCTCTTGTTCTAAATGGACGGCTTTTATGGTTTTTTGTTTCGACGGGTTGCTACTAGTAGAGAAATGTGCTCCGGATTCGATGTTCAGTTTTTTTTTTGTTTTTCTCAGTCAACCATAGCATATTTTCTTCCTTGACCATAAAGTGTGTATGGCCGTCATCGGACCAGTGTGCTCCAGTGGTGTACACGCAAATTGTTGGTTTGTTAGAAAACACATATTAAAAATGCAATAAGTTTTGGACGGGTGCACATGTACGCAGCCGTGCAGCACTGGGACAAATGACAGCCTGAGGATGATGAGGCTGATTGTCAGTCGGGGGATCTGTTGTTCATCAAAAGCTGTTTTTGCTGGAACTGATCGCGTGTTTTTCGATGATTTGAATTCAAGCAAATATATTTCGATTCATCGGGTTTGCGGCGAATGTTTGCTTATTGTTTCATTCGTTCTTCTGTGGTTATACGATTTGTGCTGCAGTTCGCTAGGAGCTTTTAAATATAGCTTATTATAACTAGTTATCAATATGAAAGTATATGAAAATTGGCCTGTGATCAGGTCTAGGTTTTTGATTGAAATAAGTATGTAATCTTTGCTTGTCTCTAGACGTATAACTGAAGAAGGTTGCTTATGAGTTTGATAATGAAACGTGGTAGAAAGGTTCTAAACATACGAATAAAATTGCAATTTACTGCTAATAAACATTACAGCGGTAAAATTTATGCTAATGCTGATTGATTTAAGTAGTTAAAAAATTTCTTACAATTTAAAACCATTGTTTGCTTGTTTTTTCATTATCAATGAATAATTATAATAAAGTATATTTAACGTGGTTCCCTAGACGTCAGCTGCCAACCAACCGGCCAGCTTGTTTCACTTGTCCAGCAGCATTCGATATTGCGTCTTTCTTTTATTCTGATAACCAAGCCTTTAAACACCAACTGAATCGACTGTATTTGCTTTTCCGATTGCGTTGAGTTTCCATTCAGCTTCTGATGACAAAAAAAGAACAGTATTCTTAACCAAATAGAATAGTAGATTTGATAAATGTATTTTGTATGTGTTTAAAAGTGTTTGCTAGTAGTTACTAATACAAATTGGCGTGATAAAAAGTATGGGATTATGCCCTATAAAATGATCGCCTGAAAAAGACAGACCAGAGGGATGTAAATTATGCTATGTTCAATTAAAAAAAAAAGAAAAGAAAATGACACGATCTTTCGAACTTTTGAATTTTGCTACGAAATTTCCCATCTCTTATCTTTCATCCTTACATCCTTACCATAAATAATAACTGTTGATAAAAAGTTTCTCTCGAAAAAGGCACTTTTCTCGCCGTAAGTAGCTCTCTTTTCCTCCTAATTAAATTCCTTTTTCCTAACGAAGTTTAAAATTCTCTCCAAAAGACATTTCCAAACAAAACATGTGAAAACTACTCATTATTGCATCTCCGTGTTAACGATTTGTATGTATGTGTGTGTGTGTGTATGTGTGTGTTGATCTACAGTATTTTAAAACTCGCATTCTCTCATTTTGCGGAGTTTTCACAGACGATTGCTTCGGAAAAGCTTCCCTTCGCGCGGCGCATATGTTCTCTGATATGTGTTGGTGTCTGCGCAAAAATAATCAACATGAAATCACATCTTCCTGTTTTGTCCAGTTTCGCGCCGCCCTCCCCCTCCCACTGGGAAGTGTCCTCTTTTCCGATAAGGCACTTGATCATTGCTTGCAATGGCGACGGGGTGATCCCGCGATTGCAATATTTCTAAATGTATAATACGCACACACGAGTCTCTCGCCCTTCTGATATCGAGAGTGTCGGAGGTTCTAGTTTTCTTTTTTTTTCAGAGGTTCCCTATTGTATGCAGTATTAAACCAATATTTAACTAAATCTTAAATGTAGAAATTGTTTCATTTAACATTTCACACGCTCCTCTCTCGCTGATTCTATTCCTGTTGTTATTCTCGGTTGTATGGTTTACTTTTCTCCTATAGCGATAAAGAAAAACTTTACAGCTATACTTAACCTTCGTCGTGTAGATGTATGTGTGTGTGTGTGGATATGGGTGTTTGTGTGTGAGTATGACCAAAATGAAAATTCCTAACGTTACTCAGTATGTGGATTTGAGTAATGGTGTTTCTGCTTTTAAGTATATATAATGTGTGTGTGTGTGTGTGGGTGTTGGTAAACCGTAATGAATATTCATCTGTCCTGTCGCCGTTGTGACAACAGCAAACAAACAAAAAAACGCGTGCATTTTCCTATTGTTTCTCCTTTCGCGTTTACTCGGGAAACTGCTGTTAGATGATGTCGTACAACGTGTTGTCCGGTTTGGTACTCGAGGGATCTATCAGGTTCAGATTACTGACGGCATCGATCTTTTCCAGTAGCAGGGGATCATCCAGCTGAAAGTAGAATTGCATGGGAAATTATTGTTTCGTCATTACTTTTATTATTATTCACGTTTAAAATTGTTATTTTCTCTTTTCAGATTCCTGCCTCTATAGTAAGGTAAGTTCTGCCTAAGCTTTCAAGAAATATATACTGAGAAGCTGATACACAGTGTAGTATATGTATGCCAGTGTTTGGCAGCACTGGCAGTCGACAAAATAGACCTTTTTAATGCACCACCAACGTAGAGGGCAGTTCGAAAAGAAACGTCAACCAAACCGTTTGTTTACATCAGAAAAAGGATTTTTCACAACCCAAATTAAAGCATTTTTCATTGAACAGCTTGCCAGTTTCCATCAGTAATTGTCTTATTTTAAGATTTTCCACACATCTGAACTGGTTTGCACCTAAACTATCCACACACAAGAAATCCGGAAGATCATAACCACTAAGGATCTATTAGAATTGTCCACTTATCTAAAAAAAAAAACTACAAGGGACAGCCCTATCAGGTTGTGCGCAATGGTGACGTAGGACTACGTGGTCTTATATAATAAATCTTATTGGTTAACTGCAGCAGGAGCTTGTGTTTTGTGTAGGAATAGGAATTTGAGCAGGGTTTTCTCTGTTTATACTCTTAAGTATGACGCGCGTGACATAGATGGTCTACAGCGACTCACGAAGAGCTACTGATTCCGATCAATAGCGGTGCGGCTGCTCTCTCCTTCTATGGATGCTCATGTTGGCTCGCTGCTTACAGGCAGCCTTTCGTTGTCTACTGCAGAAGAATGTTCAACGCCACGCGCTGAAAGCACTGCTAATGTTGATGACCGGACACCACCACACACGGTGATCGGAACTGAATCCGATCAGCGGTTGAGGGCAGTCTTGATAGCTAGCTGCTTGTGGGTAGCCTTTCGTTGTGTACTGGAGAACACCACCACTCACCACAGGATGATTGCATAAAAGCTGTTTGGTGAGACCGGATGGAATTCAACTTTGAAATCTGTGCTAGAGAAATCGCTTTTCGCAGGCAATCGGTGATAATTTTAATTATCATAGGAACAGTTGCACATTGGTGCAATTTTCAATAGTGATATTTTGAAGAATGATAATGTCTTAAATATTTCTGATCGAATGGTGATAAAATTATTGAAATTGGTCCAGGGGCAACTGAGTTATTAACGTTCAAAATCTTTCATAATTTTGTTACATGTTCCATTTCCTGTTTTCACAATGTGTACCCCCTTATAGAAATTACAGATGTAGCCCTACGTCAAAAAATATTCCTGAACAGGATCCTTGCAAAAATAATGCTTTCTATGTCACATGGCAACTATTTCTGTTCACAACACGTTCTCCTATTCACCATCAGAGATTAAATCGATCGCTTAAAGGGTGTCCACGATAAAATTGCCACACTATGAAATTGCTCTAACTTTTTAACCGTTGGGTAGAATTTAATGAAAATTTGGGTGGATTTAGTTCATAGTGCATTATTTACATCCTGCAAGTTTTAAAGTCCTGTGATCAAAACTCGCGGAAATGGAGTCGAAAGAACAGCTCGTGCGTGATAAAATCTTGCGCATTCATCACGAGAACAAGGATCTCTCGCATCGTTCCATCGCTAAAACGTTGGGAATCGTGAATTCCACGGTGTCGCGAGTGATTAAGCGGTTCGAGGAACGGTTGACCACCGATCGGAAGCCCAGAAGTGAAGAAAAAAGTATTCCGTACAACACCAAAAATCACAACCGCGTAGTTGGGGCCTTCAACCGAAATCCGAACGCCTCCGTTAGGGATGTGGCTAAGAAGTTGCACCTAAGAGGAAGTTTTGTCCAGAAGGCCAAAACTAAGGCTGGGCTTCGAACGTTCAAGGTACAAAAGGCCCCTAATCGCGACGAGAAGCAGAACAAGTCCGCCAAAACCCGTGCCAGGAAGTTGTACCTCAACATGCTGACGAAAGTTGAATGCTGCATCATGGATGACGAAACATATGTGAAGGCCGACTTCAAACAGATCCCCGGAAACCTGTTTTTCACGGCCAAGGATAAGTTCAGCGTTCCGGAGCATGTCCGCACTCAGAAGATGTCCAAATTTGCGAAGAAATTCCTGGTTTGGCAAGCCATCTGCACGTGCGGGAAGCGGAGTGCACCTTTCGTGACCCAGGACACGATGAACGGACAAGTGTACATAAAAGAGTGCCTCCAGAAGCGGCTGCTTCCTCTCCTGAAGGCCCACAACGTCCCAACAATCTTCTGGCCGGATTTGGCCTCATGCCACTACTCCAAGGACGTGCTGAAGTGGTATGCGGACAATAAGGTCAATTTCGTGCCGAAAATGTTCAACCCTCCCAACACTCCGGAGCTCCGCCCTATCGAGAAGTACTGGGCGATTATGAAGCAGCACCTTCTTAAACGACCTAAGGTAGTGAAGACAGTCGAGGAACTGAAGAAAGTATGGGTTTACATGCAAAAAACGGTTGATTCACAGGTTGTGCAGAATCTTATGGACGGGGTTAAGGCCAAGGTGCGGGCTTTTGCGTATGGACTGTAAATACAATACGAGTAAAATGGTAAAATTAAGTTTAATAGTTATTTCTCAATCCCTGAAAATTTGATGGCAATCGGATGAAAACTCGAATTTTGCGAATCAATTTTGTGTGTGGCAATTTCATCGTTGACACCCTTTAGTTTCTATTGAAAAGGCGTATAACCATAGAGGTAACTCTAAGACAAGAAGGTCCCGAAGAAACGTGCTCAACTTTTTGGCTCAGCTCTGGTCAGTGCTGAGATTTGTCATTGTCATTGACAGACTTTTGCGCGATATTGACAAAATTGTTTTTCACATAGTCAATGATAGACTTGATCTTTAAAAAAATCTTTGTTAAAATCTCATTCATTTTTTCGTCAGTGACAAAGATTCACCTGGTAACAGAAAGGGTAATTTCTTGCATTTTGAGACACATTATTGTTATCCAAGCTGTTCAGGCCGTAGATGCTTGTTCACTTTAATGGCTCCATGTAATTGTTTTCCTGAAGCCATTTAATTTCATTTTAAATTTAGCTAATAAACAAATCAGCACATGTTCGTCACTGACAAAAATGCCACTGACAATTGACATGGTTTGCCTTGACGATGACTGTTAGCTCAAACGAGTGACCAAAGCAGAATTTTGAGTATCACCGTGTATTGTCGAAATTGTGCAGCACTGGCTCTGGTACTCTCTTCGGTTCCAAGCTAATCGATTCGCCCCTCGAAACATAGGAAAATCCAATAACCCCTCATTTTATCTGTCAAACTTTCATAGCGAATCAAAACAAACATTATGTAGTACTAGAATTTCGACTAGAATGGGATACGTTAATCATTTGCTTGGGACCAATAGGCTAGTCAAGTAGTGAGCCAATTTAAAATCGTTAGTTTCGTATTGATTGTTGGTATAACTCAATGTGATATCAGTGTTGCCAGATATACCGATTTATTTGTATATTTGTATTTGTACCGTTTTTCGAACTTGATACAGCTTTAGCTGGGCCATGACTGCGCCTCAACTAGCGAATCGTATTCGCTAATTGGGGCAACTGACAGCTGGTCGAAATTTTCAGGGGGAACGCAGATTATTTGTTTTCTTTCTGCAAATAAGACGGAAAAGTTTCTCGATTCACAGCAGTTCAAAGTTTCGTCACCGGTTCAAAGAAAATTAATTCTTTCTGGTCGTTATCTTTTTTGCAAAGGTATGTAATCAGTGTTTTCAATCATTACTTTTTAACAAATTGCCTTCATATTAAACAGGAAATGTTATCCGTGATGCTGAGTCCAGTGAATTGCAGATGAACGAGCAGATCGGGAAAAAATACGGCATTGGAAGTTCATCCGTGGGCCACAAAAGGCAGTCATCAAATCGAAAATAGACAGCGATAGAGAACACGGAGTAGAGAAGCGACGAACTCTGAAGGAACAGAGTTTTCCGTTGATGGAAGAGGCATTATTATTGTGGGTTGCAAACATAGTTGTTCCGTCAGATGTAATGAAGGCCAAAGCCTGACTTCTCTTTGAAACTTTACAGCAAAACGGATGCTACGAAGGATGCCAGTTTCTTGCATCGAATGGATGGGCTCGTCGTTTCCGGAACCGTTTTGGACTACGTGCGGTTGTAATCGCTGGAGAAAAAGCTTCGGCTGACCTCGAAGCTTACGGCAAGTTCAAAGGAGTGCTTATGATGAAAATCCTGGAAATGTGTTTGAGCCCTTCGCAATTGTTTAACGCTGATGAATCCGCATTATTTATTAAACTAATTGCATCCCGAACGGTTGTCTTGTGGGATAAAAAAGCTGCTGCTTGACGTAAATTGAATCGGAATAGGTATACATTTATGCCCTACATGGACGGAACCCTGAAATTAAAACTTATCTTCATCGGCATGTCTGAAAACCCGCGAGACCTCCCCCGTTATAAGAAAGCTCTACCGGTATCTTATTATAACTCAAAGAAGGCTTGGATGAACCGGATCCTGTTTCGAAGTGGTTCGATGAGGAATTTGTCCCCGCTGTACGAAAGTTCAGCGGGCTTGAACCAAAAGCACTTCTTCTTCTGGACAACTGCTCGGCTCACCATGATGCATGTGATCTAAAAAGTGATGATGGGTTGATCCAAGTCATCTACTTACCACCCAATGTCACTAGTGAGTGCCAACCCTTGGATCAATTCGTTATCAACGCAATCAGAACGCGCTATAAGAGAAAGTTGATGCTAAAGTTGTTTCTTGAAGACGATTAAATCAACGACTGAAACATATTTCATTGACACTATGCATGGATTGGTTGGCCAGCTCGTGGGATGAGGAATCTACATCGACAATAAGGAATTCTTGGAATAAACTGATTGATGAATTTCCAGGATACGAGTATAATGATTCTTCGTCTGTTTAACGATAACGCCCAAGACATCAAGTTACACATAGCTGCTGTAGACAAAGCAGCCGGTACCAATACAAGTGAGAGTGACGTTGATC